ACACTACAGTAAGCACTTCCTTAGATATCAATTCCCTTCGATGGCGAATTTTCAAATTTATAATTAAAGTGGTGGCATTTGCCACCGCCTCTGACCATCAGCTACTTCGGTCTTGCCATCTGAGAGGTGCACAGCTCCTGCAGCTTCATTAAAATGAAAATACTTCGGCGAAAAATTACAAATTCTACAGTATATTGAATGGAATGTTCTGTTCATGTGATTATTGGTTGGCGCACCCCTGTTGACCTTTGCAGATAAAATCAGTTTTTATTTTTCAGACATTTTTCTTTTCTACAACAAAGAAGCTTTTAGGAACTTTGACCCGGCTTATTCGCCTTGGTTAAACGCTAGGTGCGGCGCGGCGAAAAGGAGGCAGTCTAACTCAGTAATACACATATCGAACAATTAAAGACAATTAATTTAAGTACATTGTTATTCAACTTTTGGCTTTACTATGCAGTTTATTGCTGGTTTAATGTAATATTTCACGGCTGTCAGAGAACTGATAGGATTGCGTTCGTTACATTGTAACGCTAATGGTCACATGATCTGCCGGCAATACGAATGTAAGCATAGTAAACACTGTGCTTCAGCAGCAATTATAAGTGTGTTTTTTTCGAACAAACGGTATATCCGCTGGTCTATTTTGTCGTCTTGGCGGTTTTTCTGCACAAGGTGGGACAATTCAGTTTATAACCTTGCAGTAACTACGAGTGTACCATAACTGTACAAGCAGTGCAGATGCGATAATTTTTATCATGCTGCTGCCGCACTTTTTCCTGCTGTAAAAACGTATTGGCTGTAAAATGGCACAAGGTGATATTCTACCTCAATAAATGCATGGGACTGCCGGTGGAATGAGCATTACCTCTGTGAGAGAAACTCTTCTTTACGTTAATTGTATATGCGTAGACGGTAGATACACTAAAGAAATGTCTGCTTGGCCTGCCCACGTTTAAGAAATAATTGTTTCTTCGTTAGCAGCTTCGCTCTCGCTTTCAGCAGCAATGGCCCTGAAATACGCCTCGTGGGTGCACGGGAACATTCTTAGGCAATCCTGTGGGAACAAGTGGTCCATAGAGTTCTCGAGAAGTGGGGCGGTAATACGCCGGCGCCAAGGCAGTCGTACCGGCGTCGTCGAAATTCCGGTGCCGGCACCCGTTGTCATTGACGACCCACGGCTGCGCTACAAGGCTGTGATACTGCGATACCGAACGCGCACGGGAGCGAAAATCATCGGTTTGCACGTCTACGAATGTGGCCGAAGTGTGTCCTAATCCAGTCTCGACCGTCAAAGATATGATTATGACGACATCTGGGAGGTCATGGACCAGAACAACCAACCGGAAGTCTTGTGGGGCCCCAATCTGACGGTGTCTATCGATTTCGGGACTCACAGTGAAGATGCAGTGGAAATTGGCGGGGCTGGCATTGACTTTATTTGAATATAAATTGTTTTAATGTAGAAGGTAATTTCCGCCAAAGCGTCGCTTAACAACAAATCGCGCGCCTGGTGGCTGATTGGGGAGGTGTTCGAAATCTTATTGTCATTTCCGATCAATGTGAACAACATCGTAGCATTTACAGTATAAATACCGTAAAACCCTATATTAACGCCCCCCCCCCCCCGAAATTAACGCCCCGTGCGGTTTTAAACGCCCCCTCCCAAAGCTCTCGAAATAATAAAAGCCCCCCCAAAATTATCGCCCCGGGGCGCCTAATAAGTTGCGGCGGCGCGCATCTTTAGAGCGTTGTCGTTACAGTCTAAATGGTACATCTTCTTAAGTTAGGTAAATTCCATTTAAAAACACCCGTTAAACCATGATTTTCTAGCAAATGTGTTGGTTTCTAATTTATTCCTTTGATATCCACAAATATAAATCTCGTTAAAACTCTGATATCATACGCGCGTTATTCATTTGAAATATTAGACCCCCCCCCCCCGTAATAAACGCCCCCTGCGGTTTTAAACGCCCCCTCCCGAAGCTCTCGAAAAAATAAAGGCCCAGGGCGTTAATATCGGGTTTTACGGTATGTGCCTACTGCCCGCTTATTCGTTTATTTGGCTTTAAGGCGGTGCTTGTGTGTTGTTCCATTAACCCCTTTTAGAATAAAAATTATCAATAAATGCATAGTTGGACATGGCCGCGTGAAACACTTGCGTACCGCATACGAGTCGGCAATCGACGAAACCGTCAACACCAGCTCACCAATCCAGGGCATTTTCTTAAAAGCATCTGAAGCTAATATTTAACTTATCTGGCTACAATCAAATTGCTTTATTTCTCAGTAATTATCATAACGAAAGAAAAAAGATGTGTTTTAGTTCGGGATAGAAGTATGCAATGAGAAAAAATTTAAAGACCGACAGCTCAATTCTTACACGCTCTATACAGTTTATTCGCAAATTTCGCATGACATGTCCGCAGTGCTGCACTATCCCAAGTAGAAAAAAATTAATAACAGCAAGTTTCACCGGCTTATAAAGCGGCGCCACCCGGAAAGAAAACGAACTAATTTGCGTAATTTGTGACGACAAAACGGATAATACATATAATACATATTATTGATCGACCGAAGCGTAGTGAAGGTCTTCTATGTTCAGCGATTATGGAAAATGTGATGTCCGTCCTTTGGTCAACGCCACATTCGTATTAGAAAAGGGAGGGGCACAAAAGCTTTCTGCACTGACGGCTTGTAACAGCGGTGTGTCTTTTCTTTCGTACCAATGCCCCTTCTACCAGTGCTCAAAGCAGTGCCTCTATGCATGGGCAGACACTCTCTTAAAAATTGTACACAGGTACCACCGGCGCCACAGGGTACCACAAGGTCCTACCACGATAATAGTATTTTGATTCGGCTTGCTTTTCCGTTACGTGCTGACCGATTGCATCCTAATTTGTCATATACTTCAGAAGTAGCCATATTTACATAATTAGACTTATATGTCTACATTCTGTCTATAAAAGTTATCTAGGATTATTTAGCCGCTCGATGAGAATGCGCTACTGTATACGGTCTGGTGCCTGGTACGTAATAATCATACTGATCGCTGGGCGATGTAACGCGTGAGAAAAAGTAAAAACAAGCTGGAATATACCGTTGACCTTTTCCTGAAAGATACAGTTTTTAAACTGTCGTCTAACATGCCTCTAAAACCGGCATAGCCATCCGTCGGCTTAGAAGAACCTCCATCGAAGTTTGGCCTGCTACCATAAGTTCCAGTAATTTCACGAATGGTGTCCTATCTCGACATTTCGCGGGTTCATGTTAATAACACGCATTTTTTCTAGCTCTGTTTATGATGCAAAGCATAAAATAAAACGTATTTGCCCCAGCTTGTTTCGCCGTCTGGAATGCTAATCTACAGAGGGTGATTTCGCAATATGCTTCCAGCACGGGAAAAAATTCCCGAAAATTTCCCTTTCTATTCTTTTAATCTGTTTGCTAACCAGTCTTGTGGGAATAAGTGTGCCTAATTTTTCAAAATGATTTGTTTAGTTCGAGCGATAAACATGGCACGAAAAACCGATTTAAGAACAAGGTGCCGAGTGCCGGCTCTATCAACAATTTGTAAGAGCCACAGAAAAATCGCCGAGTGTCTGATGAGCAAAGGGATCGCTATTTCTCATACTACGGTAAATAAGATCTTGAAATTTTAAGGACCCGAGAGTGAAGGAAAGGGTTCGCCTGCAACACGCCTAGAAAATCAGTGCCTACCCAAAGTTCCCACAAAGTCCCTCATCGCCGAAGTCAAGGGGGTTATCTCAACACCGAATCCACCGTCTCAGAGACAGTTGGCAAAGAAATTTAGGACATCCCAGTACACGATATCGAAGATTATTCTTCAGGATCTTGAAGCGAAAGTACGTAAAAGTGTCAAAGTACAGGCCCTATCAAATAAGCAGGCAAAACAGCGTGCTTCTCGTGGTTCCCGATTTGCCAAATTTCTGAACCAGCGAAATATACTCCAAATCATTCTAATCGACGAAGCATGAGTCCATCTTGATTATACGGGCAAGCGAAGAAAGATCTGCTACGAGTTTAAAGGATACAAAAATCCCGAAAATTGGATAAAATTTTGCAGATTTAAAAAACCACTAGGTGTTATGTTTATCGCCGGAATTTCTTATCGTGGCCTAACAGCGATCCGGTTCATTCCTCCCACTCCCAAAATAACCGCCGATCTCTGCATTCAAAGCGTGTTGGAGCCATTGGTGCAAAAAGACTTCCCCCGTGTCTATCCAGGCGAAGAAAGGAAGGTGGCACTTCATCAGGACTCCGCTCCCGCATATACTTCCAAAAAAATCTGCCAGCGGCTAGCTTCTAGCGGCATCCGAAACATTCCGAAGGGCATGTGGCCGAGCAACTTACCGGACTTAACATCCATGAATTTTGGAATGAACGGGATTTTTAAAAGAATTTTGTATCACGAGTATGCAGCGTCGATTCGCGGTTTGTTAACAGTCGCGCGCCGATCATTCTCTATAATTTAAATTACCCTGATACGTCGAATACTTCTTTCCTGGCGTTATTGTGTGGAGTTGATGGCAGAGAAGAAGGGCTTTCAGATAGAGCAAATATTAGAATAAAGTCAATGCGGCGGAGATTATAATAAATTTATGAACAGAGTGGAAGCATATTGCGAAATCACCCTCTGTAGTACGAAAGTACTACGGATAGCGCGAAAAGATCAAACATTGCTCTAAGAACTAAGAAGTGATATAATTAACTTATCATAACCTGACATATTCCGATCCGTTTACGCCTAACTGTATTAAGGGTTAATGGTGCAGACGTACATGTACAGGCGGGACTTATTATTTTGTACACGCTTGTACGCGAAACAAATAACGTCCGCTTTCCGAGGTGAATTTCCCAACTTAAATTTGTGGTAAACGTTCCCTTATCTGATGTCAGAAAATTTTCAAAGCAAGCACAAAGATCAATGTGCGTTGCCTGCTGCTTATTTAGGCAGCGCATTGTGGAAAGTCTTATTACTGTAAGCTCAGACATTTGCTGCGCGAAACCGTCTGAATTATTATAACATTTTCTGACAGCTCAGCAAACGCGAGCATCAAAAAGGTTGCTGTGTTTCGCTTTTAGAAATGCGCCTTCATAGATGGATCATTTTTCCAGCATTTGAATGATTTTCGATTACATGCAATTCTACAGAAGCCTGATTCAGTCAATGCTAGGTTTATTATTAGTTCACGGATGGAGTATCTAAAAATGCGCATAATTTTATTGTTTTCTCTAACAGCAGCCGTGCTGGGTAAGTATTTTAAAGCGTTTCCCCTGACTTACGCAGGAATGGAAAACGCTCCACATCCTGAACCAGTAATTCCTAAATACGATAATAACCTATCGCACTAATGCACAGGTTCCGGCACGGATCTCGAACAAGACTGCAGTAATTCGACCCACGACTATGTGGGAACTACCAGACTGCCGACCACCACGCCTTCTTTTCCTTTCCGCACAGATTTGTTGACGAAAGAAGAATGTTTTATTTACTCCACCTTAGGCGAAAGAAGTGCTTGCAGACTTGGCATCGTGCTCGACGACGCCTGTAACGTAACCGAACAAGATCCTTACTACAAATACTACGCCTCGTCCAGAACCTACCTGGAACTCGAGTGTCGACTCGCAAATCGCTCAGACATGCGGCAGTTGACGCGAAGCATCCCTCGCATCAGTCGAACCGGGCTGTGACAATCCTGCTAACAGAAACAAGCGACGCGAGTCACCCGATAGATTCCGACGTTATCCATCCTATTCGACAACAAATCGTGGAGCTCACCGTCGTCTCTAATACGTCAGCCACAACCTTCAAGGTGTACGAAGCCGGTACGTTGCCCAGGTTGCTGCGTTTCAAAGTGCAGCATGGAAAAACTTTGAAGGTTAAAAAGAGAGATTTTTCCCGCATGCCGGAAGTACGAATGATTTGCTTTGAGTCGTCCATGTTCGATTCGCTGGAGCGTTACACGTTTATGGACTTGCCTAAACTGGAGAGCTTAGTTTTGGAGGAAAGGATCAGATATATGTTGTACAAAACGGAATTGTACGAAAAATATGACCCCACCGGGACCGTCAATCGGCCAATGAGCATCGAGGATATCCAGAAGGTGCGACGTCTGCACTGCGACTGTTCGTTTGTTTGGCTCCGGAATTTTCTCAAACAGACGCCACATCTCGCATCTCGAAAAGCGGAGGGCGAAGTATTTGTTGTAGGCAACTACTATTCACCTGCTGTTTTAAACCCGGTAAATGATTTGAACCCAGAGGTGCTCAGTGTGGACTGCGGGCGGAAGTTATCCTACAACAATACTAACGCTGGTTGGCATTTCTCCTATAATACGTCGTGTTACACTTACAACCTATCTTGTAGCTGAAAGAAATTTCTTTTTCTCATTAAACAATGCGGCTGTAGCTGTAATTTCTTGTGCAGTGTAGTAACAGCCTTTCGGATGTTTGCATAATTCAAATTTACGGCTTTAACTTCGAAATGCAGCAAAAGTGTTTGGTGAAGAAACGGCATTACCGATTTTCCAGCGTTCACTAAAATTAGAGAACATGCGGCATGAACGCTAATATTACAAAATGTTTTGCGGTTCAGAAAATGCATCGATCTACGTATGTTTCTAACCAATTTTTTCTCCCCATTTTGTTAATGAAATATGTGCATCTGTAATTGCAGCTCATTCTGTTAAAAAACAATAATCTCCAATGAAAATTTACGAAGGCGACATGACACCATTCATTGGCCTCTGTCGGCATCTTTAATTCCTGAGATCAAAACTGGGTCCATCAGAATGAACGGATTTTCTGGGTACCGTTCGTCGTCGTATTTATCAGAATTGTATAAAACCAATTTCACAGATTAGGTTTATATATCAACACACGCACACACACCTTACACGTAGAAAACTGGTTACTCCAGTGAAAACTGTTAGGCATTTGCGAAGGCGGCGGTATTGACAAGCTATTGAAAAGTTAGGCAAAATCTGATTTTCTGAGTAAAAGAAACATTTTAAAATCCAATATTGATTTTTACTGAATACCGGAAATTTGTTATACCTGGATTTACGGTGCCAGTTCCTGGCAAACCTCACATTCCGCCACCCACTTGAGTGGCAAAACGGGCATATGATAAGTGTTCTAAGGATTGCTCAAGCACAGCAATTTTTTAATTGCGCGAAAACCTATCTGTTAGTTGAACGCTGTTTGTCATGATGCACTATTATTTTCGCACTTTCAGCATATTTTCCGGCTTCAGGAAAGTTGGGCGTATCGCGAATTGTCCACTTCAAATTAGTATCTCGAATCAACCTAAACTTGCCATCAGCTGCAAAAACTTGATGTTTACGAACACATCACCAGAGAAAACCCTAGACGTTGGTCGTATTATCAGAAAATCCCGGGGATTATGTGCGACAAAACTGCATAGGGTGAAGTGCTGTCTGAAAACGGTGCGGCGGGTTTAAAGCATATGCTGACCACAGCTTCGACTTCACTCGAATTCTAGAACATGACGGTATAAAAGTGCGCAGCAAGCCGGTATCAAGCCTGTACCTTTCACTTTATATAAGTTCATTTTGATGGTTGTACTAAATACAAAGCATGTACGGTAGGCTGTTGCTCTGTGTAACCGGTTTTTGGTTGCTGTGGACTATCAGTGGCGACGATATACCCTACAGCAATGTGTCCGTAGCGTTGCCAAACCAGTCTTCGGATCTATGGTATGCTAAGATTCCTTTGCCGTGGGAGCTCGACATCAGCAACGAAGAACTGGCGATTGCTCTGGAAACGTTAAGTACAAATGTTGGTCTTTCATATCGCCATGCCCTGCAAGTACTCGGTAACTACAGCGAGCTGATGGCCAGTTCGCTGCCGCTGTGTCCCCAGGACGGATTTCCCAGCTGCGCCAACTGCAAACCCGGAACCGCTCGTGACAGCCTAGTGATGACGCAGTGTTGCTTTGCGCACAACTGGGCTTGGGTGAATAATCAATCCCTCCGCGACGTTTACCCGTATAATTTATATCTGGATCCGGTGACCAACACCGGTGCGGAGCTTCAGCGAGACATACACCTGACAGAACCTGATCGCTGGCATTGTGAGTACACAATTTGGTTGTGAATTTGTAACCATTAATGTTCATTCTGTAGTTTAATAACCGATACCCTGCAACCAGCGAGCTCCGGACAAAAGGATCGGGATAGTGGATACTTTGCTAGACGTTTCCGAAGTGTTAATGTGTATTTATTAAAGGTTTCAAACTTCAGCAACTTTCCAAATAACATAAAGTTGTAATACGTACAATATTTTTAAAAAGTTTCCAAGTTAAGATCCGTTTATATTAATTGGGCAACCCAGAGTCAAAGCGACGAATGTTGCACCTACGAGTTAATCGGGTATTTCGAGTGTAGACTGAAAAAAGCGATTTTGTCAGCCGGGACCGATTTTGTCCCATGAACACGGAAATTTTAGATTGCTGGTCTGGTGTATTAGTCATGTATGCGTCAGAAAGGAAACAGCGCCAATAGCGACCTACACTGACAAATTGACAATAACAATAATAGTATTCTAACAATTTCTGTTTTAATAGCCGCAAACGCGGAATAGTGTTTTGAAATTTTATTTTTGCTGAGCGGAATAATAATGTGCTTTAGCGGATCCATGCACCGGCGAGCCAGCTGACTCCATTCCCAATGGTCCCTACATTCCATGGCGCAAGAGAAAGCCGCAACTGATCGAAACAGTTATTGATTCTCAAGGAAAGACTTACAAACTTATCCAGTAGGATTCGTGGACAATCGATCGGTTAAGAACAGAGCATTTCATTTTCCTAAGGTTGCTAGCAGACTACAGGTTTCTAAATAATGAGAATAATTGAAAATCCTGTGTGACATTTATCGGTGGTCCAATTGGTTGCCGTTTATCAGTGTTACACAATAAAAGTAATTAATAAAATTATGAAATTACCCCAAATGTTCAAGTAAGTAATTTACGCGGATGTTCAATTAAGTAATCTCGATCTACAGCCTTTCTAAGATAACGTTTAAGTCTGGCGGTGCCGCGGTAGTAAGGGGAAATGCAGCGGCTGTTTTGCGTACACTTAACATGCGTCCTAAAATTACCAAAGACAGTAAGTAACGATTTTGGTTGTTTTTCCAATATTTAAATTTGATCATTTTTAGTTAGTGTAAATCGGCGCAGGCGCATTGTTATGCATGCAGGCTGATGCCAATAAAATGATTAGTTATTTACGCGGACAAATGCTGCCGAGAATTAGGCTACAAAATTACTGCATAAAAATATGTTTCATCGTATCTGTAATTTCTGATACTTAATTGAACCTGGCACTTTGTATCTGTAGATGCTGCACGCACTTTAATATTACATGCGGTCATGCCGGTAACACTCGAATCAATGCCGTAAAGCATTGCGCTTTTGTCAATAGCCTATTTCAGATTGCATACGGTAGAGGCTCCGTTCATAGACTCGAACGGCGTCAGATAATCAGTACGTTGGCAGGATGAGAACTGCTTCAGATCTTTGTGCGGCTGCACTTTGGTCACGTACAGCAACGAAAAAATTAATCGAGTCGAGTGCGCGCGAGGACGTGACCACCCTGCTAACGGTCGGCGGTCTGAGTGCTCAAAAAAGATCCACGGGCAGCATACGCTGGCCTGCCATTCACTCATGTGTCTGAGCCGTTGCAAGCATCCGCGTAAGGCAGATAGTTTTTACGCGTTACCGCACGACGCTAGGTTACAGCTGCTAACGTCGCGAGCGGACGTAAAACAACCCGGAACCGAAGGTTCCACATGGAACCGGAGCCGAAACTAACACAAACCGTGCAATCTGAAATAGGCTAATGACTGAATGACGTACAGTATGACTAGGTTTCTTCATAATCGTCGACAATAAAAACGGCCGGGATGCGTGAGCAGCAGGGCCCTCACAATCAGGACAGGCATATTCCAGGTTTCTCTGGTTCTGGTTTGGTGACGGTAAGCGCAAGCCTGTTCGGATATTTACCACAAATCAATACAACACGAAAATCGCAAATTCAGCGGTTATGCCACAATTCATATTAAGACGCGCCACGCCATACTGTTTACGATTTTACGGGGTGTATGCATGACGGATTTAGCAACGAAAGATTGGCCGCGAACGCGGGAAGCTGAAAACGGAGTACGTTGGAGTTTCGATGATGGCGTCGGACTGGCACTTTCGCCATTGTATTGTTACAGCTTCTTATCGCGCGGGTCTGATTTTGTGATGCGAAAAATTAGAACAAATATTAGCACTGTATCGCGTAAACCCGAAATTTTTCAAATGTTTCGACTGATATCAGATAATCAATGATTCCGTTCTCGAGTGTAGAATTGACCTACACAAAGCCTTCTTTTTTCTTTATAGCCCATTGTCTGCGATGCCGCTAGTATAAATCTGCAGTTATAAATTAATAATCACTTAACAAAACTCCGTGCGCGGCACGGTTTGACAACATCAGTACGCCAGATGTAATTATACAGTGTCGTATTATTTGGGTTTGCTCCAACTATTATCTGTCTCTCTATCTACCAAGAATGCACCTGAACACGCGAAAAAATTGATCAAAGATGGAGGAATCGCTTAAATTTTGCCGTTGTGGTAGTTTACTCTAATTTCAAAATGATCGCTAGAAGCTACTTAGTCATATTCTGTGCATTTCAAGTAGGAATATTTTAAGTGGGAGTACGGAACTTTCAAAACCGGCCCCGAAACTGGTGCTCATTCTGCGGGATTTTTTTAAAACGTGTTGACGTTCTGGGCAATTTATGCTTATGGTTGGATGTTTGCCAAACCAATTTTCTGGAAAGTCAGGGGGATACTACGGATACAAGTGAAAAAATATTACAATCCAAAATTTGCCGCGTACGGAGTTGTCCATTTCTAAAATTGTTATGAATTTAACAGCTTTTGATACTGCAAATTGTGCATGTGTCCAAGTTTTGAAAGCAAGCCGATATTTGGAGATCCGGTATCAATCAAATCCAAATTGTGTTAACTTACTAACAACTAGGTGTTAATATTTGCATAATTTCCACTGCCTGCGAGCCGCATAGAGTCACTTTATCACGCGTATCTCGAAATGCGTATGAGTTATTTTTTCAAATTGCCCTGTGTCCGAGCAAAAATCTTTTTCCGGCTTGTCTCACGAAGACCTCAAAGTTAAACGTTTTAGAAAAATAAACTTTAGAGGCTTCCGGTGCGTGACAGCCATGACGTGAAAATCTATACGAATGACTACAGCAGTACAAGTACAGGGAAGTGTAAAATATGACTGATTTCCCCCTATATACACGTATGGACAATCCCGTTTTAAATCTGCACGTACAGCCGGTACAATCAAAGTCGCCTAAAAAATTATCAAGTATCAGCAGCTATCGTGCCAAAAACAATGTATATAAAGTGTGCTGTACATTATACAAAATTTAATGTAGATGATGCGACTCATGCGAGTAATAATACTAACATCATTAGTTGCAACTTTCAATAAACAACTGTGTTTGGTATTTGGCATAATATTCATTTGTCGCTGGCCGATAAAAGCAGACTAGCAGTGCCGTTGATTGTTATTGCAGTTCACAGTCTCGGTTATTAGAATGCCTATTGAGCCAGAACCGTACTGACACAAAACCCAACAAAACAAGCGATACACAAACAGTGGCCACATTACGTATACCGTAATTATCGAATTAGAAGCCCAGGGTTACAAATAAATCAAATGACCCACGGGGTGGGCTCCAATTACGGGCATGGGCTTGTATTTAGGTGGGGGCTTCAATTTTTCAAACCAGCTTTTTGGCATTTTTTAATATGGGCTTTACGGTATTTATTAAGCCCATGGGCCTCTATTTCGGGGGGGGGGGGGCTTATAACTTTCAAACGACCTTAGGGGTGGGCTCTAATTACGGGGGGGCTTGTATTTTGGGGGGGGGCTTCAAATTCGATAATTACGGTAATTATATATTACAAGAAACAGCCTCGGCTTCGCCTCCGCATATCTTGTGGTCCATGGTAAGTTATTTTGATTTTCAATGAATATTTACGAGTTTAACATATTTTGTCGAAATATTAACGGTACATCGCAATAGCGCAAAAAATCGGATTATTTGTAAAAACACGGATTTTATTTTTTAATATATAATACAGTATACGCAGTGACAGTAATGATCACTGTGTATTAAGTGCAAATTGTGCAATGATATTAAGTACTATTATTAAGACGCATGGATATGCCGTCTAAAAACCGCTGAATGAGCGCTGACATGAGAAATGATGCACTGCTAATGTCCCTCGATCGCGATACAGGCTCTTGATCTAGGAGATCCAGGATTTGAGGATCCCTAGAATAATATATACAATTTATGTTAACGGTTTTTATACCACTGGGTATATGAGTAATCCGACCGCGTAAGACTATTACCGTATTACATACTCATATAATTATAGTGTTACAGAACGGTGATCACACATACCGACCTACGTACACACATACCGACCTACGTACACACATACCGACCTACATACCGACCTACGTACGGCAGTGGTTTATAAGGGACCATCCAGAAATTATATAATGGAGGTAAGTGAATGCACCGTAAATATGGTCTGCCGTTCCATGATAGGTGTACGTTGTACTTGTAGAGGGGTGAACGTTATAAAGAGAACTGCCCCTGTGTTATAACATGCCGGATAGTCCGATTCCCAGCTGTACGCACCTAATAAAGTGGTGAACGTTATAAAAGGGTGTACGTTGCGAGGGGTTTCACTGTATAACTTAGTGCGTGAGCAGCGTGACCGACGGACAGATTAGTGCGTGACCGACATGACCGACAAAAATTCCTGTTATCTTGACCATAGAGGACTTTCACTTCGCTTCGGTCGATTGCGCATAATTATTATGTAGTTTCTTGTTTTTTATGTAGTTAATTGCTGGTTCTCTGTAATAATCTGCCAAAGGTGGTAACTGAGAGGAGTGCGCGCTTCGCTACATTGTGGAGCCGATTGGTAACGGAATCAACCATTTCCCCTTTGTGCGTGATGCGCAAGGTTCATGGCCGTTTGCTTGTGTTTTCCTGCGCCTTTTTGTGTAGTATAAGATGGAAGCTATCGCCCTATCTTTACCTGTACTTAGGGTGGGTCACAAATTCGAAGCGAATCTATATAGCTAGTTACCAGGGGGAGAAGAGTATTCCAAACCGTGAATTTTGGCATTACGTAATTTATGGATGGCCCCTAATGAGCATCGCCCGGTGTTCGGCCGTACATTCTGTAAAGTAAAATCATGACTGGTGCGTCGGTGTTTTACTGGCACCGTTAAATATTGGCCTTTATCGTCATTGTACATCTAAATTGTTCTTCTTATTAGTGCACGAACATCAAGTTTTTCCCACATACGTAGCTGGTTGGCCCACCCAGTATGCTACAAATACATTGTTAAGGCCAAGTCGTCATGCGTGGCATTTTTCCCGATCGGCTAAGTATGCACATCATGGCGCCTTCTGTACAAACTGCGCCGGGCGAACGGCTGGTCTGGGATCCGGTTTTTGTATCAAACATGCCAACGGCCACCTTGCATGCAGAGTGCTTGAAGGCGTATCTGACATATCGGATCGCCGCACCGCCAACCACATTATTAACGAGGAGGCCTTAAGAATATGTGGACGCCACGCAGATCGTACGAACAGTCGTTGCCGGCGGCGTGAAAACCTGAGGCTGTCATTATCGAGTGCGAAGTGCAGCGGGTGTTCGCCACTGGCATTCGATCAAGT